ATGCTAAAATGGTGTCGTTAGCCCGCGAACACTCGTACACACGACAACAACGTAGGGACAACTGACGCAAAAAAATTTTCCCTGACCGGTGGGGAACTTGTCGAGCGTGACGTCACTTCCACAATTCCCTAAACACACGTGAGCAGTAACAGAAATAGTTGACACGATAATATAATTATTATATATTATTTAAAACAAAAGTAAAAATTTAATAACAAATTTCGTTTTCCCCATGTTACTTTGTAACAACATTAATGTCTTCAGTTCTTTATCCCAAAATATCGGCTGTTATGCAAAAAATCTCCAGCTTTAATTGCGTTTTATACGCATTCTTTCCTCACTGTTTCACATATACGAGTTTATACAGTATACACATACTACACACTCGTCATTAGAGTCTTCCTATGCCCATTTTATATCACTTATACAGCGACGAACGCTTTTACTTTAGATGCTGGCTGCTCTGTACTACCAACATTAAAAACAAGTGACAATTGTAAAGTACATACAAAATAGTATTACGTTATGTATGGATGATTTTACTAACTCGTAAAATTTATTATGAGTAATGTAGTAAACTTTAGTTAATATATTACGAAAATGTTTGCGTTCGATGCATGCCAACGTTCTGCTGGTTTCTTTATTAATGGAACTTTGTCTGAGCTGTAATGAGCGATAGTTGCTATCAGGAAATGTGGAAATACTTTCTTCTACTGAATAGAGCATAATGTTGACAACAAAAATGAGACGCATATTTATAAGCTCTTCGAAAATCCACATCTTATAGAAATATGAATTTTATTTCTCGTGTGTTTTGAACACTATTTTTATAGAAAATGCTAGACACTTTTTTAAGCAAAGTTGATTTAAAACTAACAAATTCTACACAATTCGATTACAATAATGTTTTGTACTTGTTCATATCGTTTGATTTATACATTGTTAATTGTACTGACATTTTTATATTTTGATTTAATTCGAATCACAATTAGACAGAACATTGTTTTTGGACAATTAGTCAGGCACGTTTTCTAATTGTCCAGAAACGGCTATCAGTGGTCAGTGTTGTTATCCATTCAGCCACTGATAGAGCCGATTTAATCATAACTTATTTATTGCACACTTCATAACTTTGAATCAGCTTAAGTTAAAAATAACTTCGTTGAATGAGTTAAAATCTATTTCCCATAGTTTATTGTAGTGTATTAATAAGTTTAAGTGTAGGCTGCACATAATATACAAAAAAAACCCACAAAAACTTTCAAATGAAAACTTATTTGCTATAAACATTTTTAGTCTTTCTGGTTGTAATTAGATGTCATTAGTTTAACAGATAATTACAACTTTTAGTTCTGATAGAATACTACAAAGTTCTTAAACTCTGATATTTTGTTATTAAAAATATAAGTCAAATCCAAAATTTTACACATCAATGTTTTCTTTCTTTAAATAATCATGTTATATTTTATTTCTGTAAGAGTTTACATATTGATATATCGAATAAATTTCAGTAATTTCATTTTTTTGATTTCTTGTAATTTCTGCAGATGATTATCAATTAAAGATTTAGTTGAAGATGTAGAATTTTTCATTGAATTTGTTAATGTTTACGAGAAAGTTGAGAGATCTCACTAGAGAGCGTCAAAATTCTCAATGTAGAATTTTGTTACAAAAATCACACCATTCAATAATTTTAAGTTTTATTTAAAGAATATTTCTTTAACAACTTTTTAGGAATCAAAAAAGTAACTAACAGCTTTATTTTATGTACAGTACAATACACAACTTGATAATATTTGAAAAAATACATTATGATGAGGACTCCACTAAATATAATAAATATTCTGCAATATAACAAAGCTTATTTAAAATACTTCAACATTTATAATTTAGTTTTATATCATAAATATCTGTCGCTCCGAAAAATGTCCAAACAGCAGAACTTATTTGCTGCTTTAAACATTAGAAGAGACTTTAATCTCACAGTTATTGTTCTGAATTGTAAAAAACCATCATCAACCAGAAGTGAATCCAACTGAATTTTCACATAAACACTATGAAAATTTTAATAAGTTACTTAATACATTAATTAATGTTACACAAACAATCTACATTTAAATAGAAGTTATCTATACATATGTTAAGTTTACAAAAATTTTTTTTTCGCTTTGAATTGACGGACAGACATTTCTGATGGAATGCATCGCTTCCACTCCTCAATCTTATCGCTAGGAACACGGAAGAAATATCTCTTCTCGTTCGATGACTTATATACTGCCTTGCATTCTGGCACAAAGCACGTTGGCATTTTTATGTAGATAAAAAAAAACAAATATTATAGGTCGAAATCACTGACTTCAGTGTATACATAGCAAGAACAACGCTCTTTTGCCAACAGTGGTGCCAACTAGCGGCAAATATTGTCTCTAGCTAAGTTTGAACTATTACTCGAAAGACCAGTTAATCTACCGACTCTGGGGACATCTAATGATCCAGATGGCATAACGCGCTGATTGGTCGGCTGAATGACGTCAACCCACTCAAATAGGAAATGCTGATCGATTATATTTTGTGGTTGTCAGAACGAAGTGGTGCAGAAATAGATTATTTTTTAGTTGTACTATTGAGTGAGTATAAAGTGAAAATACAGTATAAAGTTTAGCTCGCATGTTTTCTTAAATTTATAGAAATAATTTTAAAATGGTTTTATTTTACTTAATAAATTACTAAGATTATTTATTTATTTATTTATTTATTGAACATTTNAATTCACTGATACAGAAATCAAAATTGCCGATTTCTCCGTCTTTTAAGCGTCTGTAGTAAATGTGAATATTTCGTTCGAAAGATACTTCTTTTCTTAGGTAACGTGCAAAATTTCAGGCTATTCTATAGAGGAGTTGCCGAAATATAAGCAGTTGAAAAGTGCAAAGATCTGCATAAAAGCCGTAACTTTTCTCTTTCTCATTCATTTGGCGGTGCAGATGGTACTAGACAAAGAACACCACTGGGTCTAGAGAGCTCAAATTTTAAACTTAAGCCTTTCTCGTCATCAGTGAGGTGCTGGCGAAACTTGTGAGTGGATAGGTCAAACTTGGCGGGGTCCTATCCCTTGCTTTTATCGCTTCTTATGATAAAATTGCATCCAGACAAATGTTGTTCAGAATAACAAAAACTCAAATTTATGCAAATTCAACTTTTTTGTAACGATTACGCTAACAGCATATTGAAAGAATTCGGATTAATACGGAAGACTACACGTTAAAGTATTTATAAGGAAAGGTGGGCCACAAAAGGATAGCCCTCGGCGAATCACAGTGGGTCTCACAAACCCAGCTCAATCTTTAGTTAACATTTTTTTAAGTATAAAAATACTGAAAAATTTATAGTTTTACTACTTTTCAGTTCAATCAACATGTGGTTAGAACGATTTTTTATTTGACTTTACTTGAACAAGATGTCTTATCAAAAACTTCCAGCAATTATACCACTAAATGTTTCTATCAAAGCACTTATTTGTTTAAAAAACGTAAATAAATATGTAAATTAGAAATAAATTGGAGCTGAAAAACGACGAAAAAAGCGATTATCTTACATCTGTTTAGAGTTTTACCTTGATTTACGTAGAGGGAGCGATTTTTTTATTGTAGTCAATTTTCCACTAGACAATTCTGAGAAAATGCTTCCTCGTTCAAACAGAATCAAACAACTAGAAGTTAGCTAATTAGACCCTAAACATTTTGGAATAATGTAAATAAAAGAATGATAGATGAGCGAAAGTATTGTCATACAGCTATCAAATTACATAAAAATAAACATTAAAAACGTAATTTTTTCATCAATACAATAAGAAAGAAAGAAAAGAAAGCGCAGAATTTAACGGTGAAATTGTAGTATTTTTACGCGATAGATAAAATTTAATAATTTTATATTAAAACACAAAGTCCGAGAGACCCACTGCGACTAAGGCAAGGATAAAAAGTTACACGACTCACTGAGGATTAAGATTACATAAAAAACATATAAATATTTACCTTTGGTGTTGTCTTTTCGGATTAGATGGTTCCTAGATGGTTCTTCATTTCTTGTGAGACATCGCGTTGATCGTTTTTGAGGTACAAACTTACTAATGTACTTAGGACAATTAGGGAAGTTTGATGGATATTCATATGACGTTAATGCCCAGCGATCTCGTGGAATTTATACTTTCTCTGCATTTATAATATGGGCGAAGGTTTATAAAATAAATCTACTCGCAAAATGTACGTCACAAACGTAACATTTATTTGTTAGCATCTTGTTGTCTGGTGGAATGCATCGCTTCCACTCCTCAATCTTATCGCTAGGAACACGGAAGAAATATCTCTTCTCGTTCGATGACTTATATACTGCCTTGCATTCTGGCACAAAGCACGTTGGCATTTTTATGTAGATAAAAAAAAAACAAATATTATAGGTCGAAATCACTGACTTCAGTGTATACATAGCAAGAACAACGCTCTTTTGCCAACAGTGGTGCCAACTAGCGGCAAATATTGTCTCTAGCTAAGTTTGAACTATTACTCGAAAGACCAGTTAATCTACCGACTCTGGGGACATCTAATGATCCAGATGGCATAACGCGCTGATTGGTCGGCTGAATGACGTCAACCCACTCAAATAGGAAATGCTGATCGATTATATTTTGTGGTTGTCAGAACGAAGTGGTGCAGAAATAGATTATTTTTTAGTTGTAATATTGAGTGAGTATAAAGTGAAAATACAGTATAAAGTTTAGCTCGCATGTTTTCTTAAATTTATAGAAATAATTTTAAAATGGTTTTATTTTACTTAATAAATTACTAAGATTATTTATTTATTTATTTATTTTTTGAGCATTTTAGCTTCATTCTTAGTTTTTAAAAACCTCTGAACCAAATCATACACAATAGATCATTTTAATAGTGCGATTAGTTCACTATTATTTACGTGTTTAGTTCTTTCTGTAAATAGATATTTTGTCAGTTTTGAATGNCAGTCCCACAGTCAGCACCCGGTCTGGTACATGCTGATTTGATTGCATTCCTCCATCTCTTGCTACCTATTATATAATCAATCTGATTTTTAAAATTTCCATCTGGTGATGTCCATGTATACAGTCTTCGTTTATGTACTTGGAAATATGTATTTGCAATAAATAGTTTATTTGAAATGCAGAATTCCACTAGTCGTATTCCAGCATCATTTATTTTCTTAAGACCATATCTTCCAACATGTCCTGGAGTCTCTTCTTTTCCTACTTTTGCATTCCAGTCACTAAGAATAAAGAGTGCATCTTTTTTTGGTAAATTATTAACTGTTTCTTGAAGTTTTTCATAAAACCCTTCAATTTCTTCTTCTGTTGCTTCTGTAGTAGGAGCATAAACTTGAATGATTGACAGATTGACTGGTTTTCCCTGCATCCTCAAGACTATGATTCTGTCACTAACTGGTTTATAACCCAAAATAAAATTTACTAAATTCTTTTTTACAATTAGAGCCACTCCATTTTNTCTTCTGTCGCTTCTGTAGTAGGAGCATAAACTTGAATGATTGACAGATTGACTGGTTTTCCCTGCATCCTCAAGACTATGATTCTGTCACTAACTGGTTTATAACCCAAAACAAAATTTACTAAATTCTTTTTTACAATTAGAGCCACTCCATTTTTTCTTAATTTATCATGTCCAGAATAGAAGATCCTAAAGTCATTTGAATCAAAGTGTCCCATTCCTATCCATTTAAGCTCACTGACTCCTAGCTCTTTTATCCCGATTCTTGTCATTTCACAACGCCTGAGGGGGAGTAGGTTTTCTACACGTCTGAACTAGTAACTGTAAATACTCGAATGTATTTCGTTATTATCTAATAATTTTTATGAGTTTCTTCTTATTACTTTTATTATATGATAAGCTTAATTTCATTAACATTTTGTCTAAAAAATGGCTTTACACGTCTAAAATAAAATTTATAATTTTCTCTGAATGTAAAAATATATCAATCACTCAATAGATCTCATTATCTTTGTTATAGTTCAGAGCGTAATTGTTTCTACGATGTATAAGCTTTTATCTATAAACTTCGGACACTTAATTTAAGAAAAGTTTAATTTTATTACTAGATTATAGCTTGTCGCTCACGTGAATTACAAAGAGATATAAAATTTGGAATTACTAGGCCTATATTCGAAGTTTGATTTTTTTCGGGTCGTGATAAAATCGAAATTTTTATTCATGTTTAAACGAGATGATCATTACAAAACACGAGAATATTAGGTTTATGCCCACATTAACGTGGCAACGCAACAATAAAACTCTGTGTACTAACAAATTGTCAGAGTTTTATTGTTGCGAGCGGTCGTTGATTGTTATTGCGAACGGTTCGATTTTTAGTTCGTGCTGTCAACATTTTCTCGTTTCGAGTGTTTTTCTCAGTTTCCTTTCGTTTGCGTTGATTTTATCGGTAAATATAGACTACGATGTTTCTAATTTTACGTATTTTTGAACATTGTTAAGCCGAATATCACAATGATTTTAAGACGAATCTCTATTTCCATAACAATTGATCGGTCTTGACAGAGACGAAACGAATTATATATCGAACATTAAAAATCGTTTGAAAGCTAAAATTACTGTATTTAACAGAGATTATATTATAATATTCATTCGTGACTTTTTGTTATAATTAAGACGATATTTTTAAAATTATTTTTTTTATTAGAAATCTTACAATGTACATAAAATGAAATTAACAAGACGAATGATTTTCTTAACGAATGCGAGTCGTGTTTTCATAATAGTCGTTTCTTTCTTTTGCAGAATGGATAATTTCAAGGAATTAAAGAAGTGGCGCACCTCGGCAAATGGTGTGAAAGAAGAAGGTTCCTCGTCGTCTTGCGCTTCGTTTCCAGTGATTCGGGTGCTACCGAAAAACGTCGAGGAGAGCGAAGAGTGCATTAAATGGGTTGTTGTCATTACTCCCGACGATAGCGCCTCGACTGTGGTCGACTACCTGGGACTGCGATACCCGGAAGTTGCAGAATGGACGGTGGAGTGTCGAGGAGAGTCCAAAGTGATCGTGGAAACATCCGTCAAGCAGAAGAAACCTTGGTGGAAAAGGCTCTTCTTCTGCTGCGTAAAATAAATTTTTTTTCTTCCGAGGTCACTTTCACTTACGTCCACTTTTCACCGGATATGACTCTGCCACCCGAATACAACTTTGTCACCCGGAAATGACATTTCACCCGGCTACGACTTAATTTACTGGAATTGACATTTCATCTTGGATTGGGTCTTTTTTTCCGCTTTGAATTGACGGACAGACATTTCTGCACTGGTTGTTCAACTTCAATTAGATTAAAGTCCATAGAACAACGACTGATGATCTGCAAAGTGACAACCAAAACATGAAGCAGTGCTTATGTTACCAGTTTAAAGACTCTGTTAATCGTCTGTAAATGGACAAAGCAACTTATATTGTACGGACATTCAAACTGTATTTAAACCGGTGTTCGACTGTCATTGTAGTCAGTATACGTCCGAACCAGAATTAAAATTACTTCAACAATTAAATTTGTAAATCGAATTGTCTGAAGTGTATATAAACTTTCATATTTAATAAACTTTAATGTGAAATTTAATTTTTAAGATTGCATATTTATCAAAATAAATATTAAAGTTGCACACTTTTAGATTTATTAAAACGTTTCTACTTTTATCAATATTTATTTCCATCCCTGTCGTCGTTTAGGTTTACAATAACGTGAATATTTTTAATATAGAAACGGACGATAAAGTAATTAAATAGAGTACGATGAACTGGAGAATATAATAGGTGTTTGTTCGGGAATTCACAAACAAAACTGCTGTCGCGCATTTACGGCGCCGAATTAGTCAATTCCGTAGCAAAAAGGCCGTTCTGCTGTAACGCAGTCACAGCGCCAAGTGGAAAATTCACTGATACAGAAATCAAAATTGCCGATTTCTCCGTCTTTTAAACGTCTGTAGTAAATGTGAATATCTCGTTCGAAAGATACTTGTTTCCTTAGGTAACGTGCAAAATTTCAGGCTTTTCTATAGAGGAGTTGCCGAAATATAAGCAGTTGAAAAGTGCAAAGATCTGCATAAAAGCCGTAACTTTTCTCTTTCTCATTCATTTGGCGGTGCAGATGGTACTAGACAAAGAACACCACTGGGTCTAGAGAGCTCAAATTTTAAACTTAAGCCTTTCTCGTCATCAGTGAGGTGCTGGCGAAACTTGTGAGTGGATAGGTCAAACTTGGCGAAGTCCTATCCCTTGCTTTTTTCGCTTCTTAAGATAAAATTGCATCCGGACAAATGTTGTTGTTCAGAATAACAAAAGCTCAAATTTATGCAAATTCAACTTTTTTGTAACGATTACACTAACAGCAAATTGAAAGAATTCGGATTAGCACGGAAGACTACATGTTAAAGTATTTATAAGGAAAGGTGGGCCACAGAGAGATAGCTCTCGGAGAATCACAGTGGGTCTCACGAACCCAGCTCAATCTTTAGTTAACATTTTTTAACTATAAAAATACTGAAAATATTTATATTTTTACTACTTTTCAGTCTGATAAACATGCGATTAGAACGATTTTTCATTTGACTTTACTTGAACAAGATGTCTTATCAAAAACTTCCAGCAATTTTACCACGGAATGTTTCTATCAAAACACTTATTTGTTTAAAAAACGTAAATAAATATGTAAATTAGAGCTAAATTGGAGCTGAAAAACGACGAAAACAGCGATTATCTTGCATCTGTTTACAGTTTTACCTTGATTTACGTAGAGGGAGCGATTTTCTTATTGTAGTCAATTTTCCATTAGACAATTCTGAAAAAATGCTTACTCGTTTAAACAGAATCAAACAACTAGAAGTTAGCTAATTAGACCCTAATCTTTTTGGAATAATATAAATAAAAGAATGATAGATAAGCGACACATTGTCACATAGCTATCAAATTACATAAACGCAATTTTTTCATCAATACAGTAAGAAAGAAAAAAAAAGAAAGCGCAGAATTTAACGGTAAAATTGTAGTATTTTTACGCGATAGATAAAATTTAATAATTTTATATTAAAACACAGGGTCCGAGAGACCCACTGTGACTCAGGCAAGGATAAAAAGTTACACGACTCACTGAGGATTAAGATTACATAAAAAACATATAAATATTTACCTTTGGTGTTGTCTTTTCGGATTAGATGGTTCTTAGATGGTTCTTCATTTCTTGTGAGACATCGCGTTGATCGTTTTTGAGGTACAAACTTACTAATGTACTTAGGACAATTAGGGAAGTTTGATGGATATTCATATGACGTTAATGCCCAGCGATCTCGTGGAATTTATACTTTCTCTTTATTTATAATATTGGAGAAGGTTTATAAAATAAATCTACTCGCAAAATGTACGTCACAAACGTAACATTTATTGTTGAATTTTCTAATGGTAGCTGTATTACGTATTATATAGGTAAATGTCTCTTCAATCCGAACAAAATTTCGGTAGACTTTCTCACAGCTCTACAGGTTAAAAATCTCCTTTATTGTTTCACAGATGCATTTCGGGCAAGTTTAATTTTCCTGCCCGAAATGCACCTGTGAAACAATAAAGGAGATTTTTAACCTGTAGAGCTGTGAGAAAGTCTACCGAAATTTTGTTCGGATTGAAGAGACATTTACCTATATAATACGTAATACAGCTACCATTAGAAAATTCAACAATAAATGTTACGTTTGTGACGTACATTTTGCGAGTAGATTTATTTTATAAACCTTCTCCAATATTATAAATAAAGAGAAAGTATAAATTCCACGAGATCGCTGGGCATTAACGTCATATGAATATCCATCAAACTTCCCTAATTGTCCTAAGTACATTAGTAAGTTTGTACCTCAAAAACGATCAACGCGATGTCTCACAAGAAATGAAGAACCATCTAAGAACCATCTAATCCGAAAAGACAACACCAAAGGTAAATATTTATATGTTTTTTATGTAATCTTAATCCTCAGTGAGTCGTGTAACTTTTTATCCTTGCCTGAGTCACAGTGGGTNAATTATTATTGGTCCAAATCACTGACTTCAGCAAGAACAACGCTCTTTTGCCAACAGTGGCGCCAACTAGCGGCAAATACTGTCTCTAGCTACGTTTGAACTATTACTCGAAAGACCAGTTAATCTACCGACTCTGGGGACATGCGACTAAATATCCAGATGGCATAACGCGATGATTGGTCGGCTGAATGACGTCAACCCACCCAAAGAAAAAATGCTGGTCGATTATATTTTGTGGTCGTCAGAACGAAGTCGTGCAGAAATAGATTATTTTTGAGTTGTAATATTGAGTGAGTATAAAGTGAAAATACAGTATAAAGTTCAGCTAGCATGCTTTCTTAAATTTATACGAATAATTTTAAAATAGTTTAATTTTACTTAATAAATTACTAAGATTATTTATTTATTTTTTGAACATTTTAGCTTCATACTTGATGTTTATGCACCTCTGAACCAAATCATACACAATAGATCATTTTAATAGTGAGATTAGTGCACTATTATTTACGTGAGTTTTACGTGCACAGATAATAAATAATAGAACATTTATACTTTGTTACAAATATTAATCATAAAAAGGTCAAGAAAGGATGAAATTTATAATTAAGACGAGTTAGAATATTTTTTGAATTTGTCACATGCATTTTATTGTTTCATCTATATTATATAGATGAAACAATAAAATTAGCTAAGTTTTGTATA